GTTTCAGAAATCACATCCAGTTATCACAGATTACTGGTCATAGGTTGACATGAAACAGGAATATGGCTGAAACAAGATGAATTCTCATTCAAGATCAATGTTGTCTTAGTTAGGACATGACAAAACAAAATTAAAATAGTTTAAGCTGTGTGTCATCATAGCATTTCTCCTTTTTTGTCCCTTAATTTTCTTTAGACAATTGTCTTTCCTGGTTGAAGCATTTTGGTATACTAAGCAAACAACAGAAACTTAAAGTAATATAGAATTAGAGCTTTATATTTGCAAATAAAATATCAAATGTAAAATATTGGTGTAGGTTGGTTTGAAGTATTTATAGGATGAGAGTAACTCAAGAGTCTCACATCATCTAGTCTTGCTAAGCAACATTTAAGAAAACCACAGTATAAGAGGCATTTTAGAGTCCTATTTTGTCAGTTTCATTCTGGATGAGACTGGATCAAGATCCTAAAGTAGCATAAATGAACAAGTCATAATAATTTACATATCAAAGAGCTGAATCTAGTTTAGGAAAGCTGCATATACCTCATTTAACAAGCTGAAGTTATTATCATTTCTCTCCTTCTGATTTAGTATTTGATATGTGTATACAAAATATTTATATTTCCAACACTGCTTTCACAGTATAGAAAATTAAAGGCCAAAAATATAGTAGGGAGAAAATATTCTGCAATGCTTTTTGTCAGATGAGCAAAATAGCAAGGGGGGCTTAGCATCTAAGCTACTGATGAGATATCTTGATGACCGGCAATGAAACTGCAGCCTAACAAATCAAGTTTAGATGCACTGAGGCACTGGAAATGCTGTGTTTTCAGTGTCTGGGCCCAGTTTTCCTGGAGTCTGCATGATTCTGTGTTATGATTTATCAACACCAGCCTTTCATATTTCTCTTAGTCAAGTCAAGTGGGTTATACATGCTGACTTTAGATTTGGGGGTAGCTTTACATGCTCTTTGTATATAAATGAGAAAGTTATTGAATTTTCAATAGAAGTTTCAGACAAAAACAAAGGGATTATGAAAAAGCTGGGGAAGTCTATCCAGCAGCTGAGCAGGCCTTGATTTCATGGTGCGCTAATAGAGGAATTGCTCCAGGGATAAATAAATGGACTTTAGCCCTGAGAAATGTTATTTTCTTTAATGATAAGAAGAGTAAAGAGATCAGCTAAAACTCAATATTTACTTTGTGTTGCAGAAGGCAAGTTTTTCTCTGAAACTTGTCCTGCATCTGTAAAGCTCTCTGTATGCTCTGTGACTGTGCAGAAACATGAATGGATCAGTTTGCATTGTTGCATAAGTAGAGAGAGGATTCAAGGACAGCTCTGCCCATGGATACCTTGATCACAAGGAGATCATAATTTCCAGCCCTTCAGCTCAACAAGAGCAACAGTCTGCTCCTTAGTCACTAGCTTACATTGCACCAACCTCACATTCCTATTCTGCCTCTGAAAGGCAAATATATTCTTACTAAACAGCCCTGTACCCCCTCTGACACGCTCAATGATTCCTAGCAACAACCAAGCCCAGCAGCAATTCACAGCAGTGATAATGTAGAGCATGTAAGTGGGTACGTGCAAGGTCCTGGGGCATTTTGCACTTGCAGTCAGCTTATCTCACTCTGCAATCATCAGTACCTTTCAAATATTGCTTTGCTATCTGAGTTAGCAGAAGTGAGCTCAGTACCATTCGCATGCAAATCAGTGGCAGTTCCAGATGTTTCCCAGAAGACATTTATGGCCCCGTGTGGACCATTGAGGTAATTTTTAACCTATGTGAGAGGCACCCTGGCATAGAGTTCACAGCAGTACTAGCATACACACAGATGAAGGGGAGCAATTTAAGGCAGTAGGAAACAAAATCTGCTTTCTTCTCTAAGACACAGGAGATCAACTACTTTTGTTAACTCTGTGATTCTTTCCTAAATTGCTATTATTTAGTCTTTGAAAATTATGGGCCTCTGCTGGTACCTGCAGCTGCTAACCAAGGGCTTTGAAGTGCAAACATCGCAGACAGCCAAATGTCAGCTGCCTGGAAGCTTCCCACGTGGAAGGATTTAGGAGCGCCCCTGACTGTCAGGAAGTTTTCATTTCAATGGGAAGGCCTTTCAAGGAAAAAATGTACTTCTGTTTCAGCTGTGGAAAAAAAAGCCAGCACACATAGAACTTCTCACTCCCACTTCTGCTCTCATGCAAGAGAGTTTAAGCATTGAATCATGGACAATTAACACAACCACATAACCTTGGGTGGTAATTTTTTCCTCTGGATGAAAAATGAGCACAATTCTATCTTCCAAGTAATTTTTAGGGTAGGAAAGATAGAAAATTCACTCTCTAGATTTTATCTGTATTTTTAATGTGCATATTAGGGCAAAAAAATTTCTAGGGTGAAGTGGCTTAAAAGCCCCTTTAAGTTTCCATCAGAAGGTCACTGCCTGCTGGTGGCAATGTTAGGTGCTCTTCTGCCCTTATTTCTGGGTGAGAAAAGGTGAGTGGAGGAGAAATTTGGCTCTTCTTTGTGCTCAGTAGTTGGGCTGAACACACAGCATCTGACAGCTGGACATCCTGAGCGCTAACCCAATGCAGGTTGCTACCTGTCAGGAATTAAAAATGCATTTTCCATGGATTAGTTCAAAAGATTTTTCCATTCATGAAAATTCAACCCCTCACTGTTTAACTGTAGTACTATACAGAGTAACTGTGTACAGTTACAGACCATGTGAGTTAACACTCTTTTTCTTCCCACTGTTCTTCAGAGCAGGCAGAATGATTATTAATTAAAATTTTACATATCAGAGCAATGCATGCAGTGGAAGAACAGACAAATGACTTCACAGATAAATGTGCCCTCACCAGCAGATGCAGTTTTTGCAAGATGACATCTATGACCAAGGTGATTCCCATCACAGGAACCGTCTTCTCAGTACAAAGAGTTTCTCCATCTAAGCTTTCCTTGCCCTTTTTCTGGCTGCCTCTTCCCACATGTA